GCTAGCAAGGGGAACTCCCGGCTTAGCTCAAAACGGCTCCCTTTTTCATGGGGAAACTGGATACCCCCGGCGACCCTCAGTGTCTCCCTCCTGAGCACCAGCTAGACCAGCTAGTATATCATAGTTCTTGGATTTGATGAAGGATTCATAGGCGAAACAAGCCATTCCCTCTAAGCAATCGGGTAGAGTATTTATATACCTCGCCATGCCTCTGCCAACAACCCACTCCCAGTGAACCCCTCCCCAGGTCCAACTAGGCTGCTCTGCACCGCGGCCGCCGCTTTCGAGCGCACGTCTTCATTAACACCCTCGACTCGCACGGTGACCTGTGAGATGATTGGTCGCTCAGTTGACAACCTAGAAGGAGTTTTATATACACAAATGTTACATTAATGCTTTGAACATTTTATCAAAATGACTCAATGCATATACATATATCTATATATATATATAGGTATATATATGTCTTAAATGTTTGGACCACTGCAAATAGAACAACAAAGAACACACATATATAATGAGCAATGCCAACATAAACGTTATATAGCATAGGCAGTTTCATCATAGAATTTCGATGATGACGCCGATGAGGATAGTGATGATGGTTAGGTTGATGATGGATTATTACAGTCGTAGGGGTCAAAATAGAAGCTGAGCTGGCACGATCAGGATCTTCGGTCGGACATCATGTGACTTCGCTGTCGCGCCAAGAAAACGGGAGCATCTGTCGTGCAGATGTTCGGAAGCCAACCGACTTGAGAAACTCACATGAACCCTTCTGAACGTGATACTCGACGTAGACATGTGACATATGTAATTCAATGGCCTTCCTGAACATTTCAGTGGTTCTTTTCACACCGGTCACTTAGCAACAAAGAATATGAAACCAATGAGCCATCTACCCAACAGTTGCAAGTCTCAATATGCAAATACAAAGCAAAGGTTTGCTGATCATATGCGGTGTGTGCAAACAAATTTGGATAGGGCTGCCCGTGGAGTCCGTGGAGCTGCCTTTTTTGCTTCACTGACCGACACCGTTTTTGCGTTTTCGTGGTTGACTGGACGCCTGTGGAATGGCAAACCAATCCAGAAAAATGAAGCCGTCGGCCACGCATTGGCCTCGCGACATCCGAGCGCAGGTCAGGGAGCTACTTACATCAGTCAGTCTACATGGGGATAGGTCAAAACCATCCCTTGGTTGACCTACCTGGAAGGTCGTTCGCTACATGGTGGACAAGGGCTCCAGGCTTTGACCTATTCCCAAGTTACATTGGCTACACTAAAATGAAATGAGCCCCAGAACGCTCTGCAGATTCTTGGCATGAAGAGTTCTTCCATCCAAACACCAGGGTAACGTGGTGTCCCTGGCCAGCACCATCTACATCTCCTCTTGGCCATGCTCAAGGAGCCGAATGAATTTAGTAAAGGACTTGAGAGTATCTACTATATCTACTTATCTATATATTATACATACCATTCTACACCTTCATAAGTTTAACATAGTTTAACCAGTTTAGTTGGTTTAGTCGGTTTCGTCACACTTGGAAAGCCGGAAAAAAAAACAAGGTGCCACCGCAACCAATACAGCTTTGCATAGGCCACACACTCGCCAAACCATCTGGTCGACCAGCAACCCACCCCCACCAACCCCCACCCACCCACCTCTGACTGTCGCCCCCAGCACCTTCTGTCGCCTGCCCCTCCGGTGTGTCAGGTGGTTTCACTCCCCCCACCCCACTGCCACCCCGACCGGTTCGTTGGTTTCAGCCGTGCCGGACACCAGTCTCAGTCCGAGGAGCGGGTCTCGGCCGTGAAGGTGCGCACGTCCTGCTGCCGCAGCGCGGAGATCAGGTCCACCTCGATCTGCAGGGATCCGTTGATGAGTCCGCCTCGACGTCCGGGCGGAGAGGACGACGGCCCCGGAGCGGAGATAAGCTGGGAGAAGCTAGCTGTGCTGGAGCCGGAGTTGGGTGCATGAGGGACTGCGAGGGAGGGCAGTGACAGGGCGGGAAGAATATGTATAGGTTTATATGTATAGCCTGGTAGGGAATAGTATAGTGGAGACGTGTTTTGGTTTGGGACAATTGGATATATACTATATGCGAAGAATTTCATAGCAGCACTTGGGAGAAAAGATGGATGAGGAGAACCCATTTAATCCACCATTCCCCAAGAGTTTCCAAGTGCTCTACTTTCCTTCCTGGTTTTGTTAAAACTTACAGTCCCCCTCCCCCTCTTCCATCCACTTCCACCTCTCACCTCACGTCTTCCACGTTCAACGGCTCCCTCTCCAACCACCGAGTTCTTCGCCTAGGGCATCCCGCAGCACTTGCATCTGCTCGCCGGCGGGGTCCGGATGTACATGGCCGAGCCATTGATGGGACACGAAGATCACGAACATCCCTGGCGCCGAGCTTCACGAACATACCGCATGGTGGATAAACGACCCAACCAGAGGTCAACATGTTTACAGTAGACCTTTTGAGTGTAGATGAGTAGATCATTCGGTGAAAACCCTTGTGCAAACGGCCATGAAGGCTCCGGTGATTCTGCTCTTTGCGAACAACACTCACATCCAGCAATTCCATGCCGATCTCCTTCAACATCATCGGCTTCCCACTTCTCTTCTGCCCCTCTTCGGATTTCTCCAAGCGATTTCTGAGTTCCTACCCCAGCCATACCATCTGCCTTTTCCGAGAACTCCCGTCCTCACTCCATCACCGCCTCCTTCCTCCCCCGCTCCGCCGCGGTGCGCCTGGCTGCCAGGCGTGCAGCCGCTGGCGGATCTGGCAATGCGCCTCCGGCGGGCCGGACATCGCCAAGAAGTCGCGGACCTGCCGAGCCGCGGCGGAGCGGCCGGCGGCGTTTTGGATCGTGGATTGACCGACCTGTGAGTCTCCGGTGAGAGCGGTCGACTATGTCGATCTTCTGGGCCGAAGGGATGGATGAGATGGATGGGACTGGAAGGTATATACCAACCGGTCATGATCCGACTATCCGACCCCTCCAAAAAATCGGTCGGCGAAGAGATCGATGTTGGAGCATGTTCACCAGACTGAGCGGACGGGCCCGCTATAGAAAGGCCAAAAGGATGACGCAGCAAGACTTGAGAAAGTTTGGAGGAGTCAATTTCTTGGATATCCTTGGATGGATGAACACTTAGAGACTTAGTATAATAAGTAGAGAAGATCTGTTTGATTCTTCTTCATCACATATGGTTTTTCCACAAAGACCGACCCTACGGGGTCCGAGATCTGCCATTCATGGCCTGGAGCCCTAGAGGTTGGAGAACAAGTGAGCTGAGGGTCTTGTCGCACAGGTTCCGGATGATCTGGAGGCTCGGGGGGAGGAACTCCAGGAGACTCCAGGAAAACCCACCAAATCTTCCAAAGCTCTCCCCAAAACACCATACATCACATATCATCACCCCTCAAATCCACCAATGTCCGATTCCCCCGTCGCCCATCCTTCACCACGTACATGGGGAAGCTGAGCTCATGCACCGGCTCCAGGTTCACATTCGGCACCTCGGCACCACAGCGCCCCACACAGCGGCTGCTGCCCGTGCCCATGGCGAGGAATCACATGCAGCCGTCTTTGGTCTTGGGGCCAAGCATATGGGTTCTGCATGGTTCTGCCATGTTCTGCCGCTGCACGGAGGAAAACGACATGGGGTGCTCTGGGGGGTCGTGTTGTCTCATCATTTTGTTTATGCAGTGTTTAAATATGTTTCAATGTGCCTCTCTCTCTCTCTCTGTTGGTTCTCATTTATCTGCAAGTGGCAACTGCTAATCTTCTTCCTGGACTGATCTGCGAATCCGTATCATCTACGACTTCCGCTGCCGGTACTTCCTACTGTGGCCGGTTGCCGTTGCTACTTTGACCTAAGTCCCCCCACCCACACAATCAAGCTCTTCAGCTTGGGCAAATGCCCGCGACAAGCTGAAGCATGGGGCACCCTCCCCAGGTCTTGCTGCGCTTGCTGTCCCACACCTTTGATTTGGTCACAACTCACCCACGTACTGAAACAGCAGGGAAATCAAGGCTGTACCTGCCAAACAAATGAACTGCTCTATCGAAAAGACTACAGAAGTGTGATCGCGCAAGCGCCCTCTCAAACAATCGTGGAGGTATAAGAGGTATAAATGGAGCCCTTGGGCGCAAGAGGTCGAGAAAACAATCCTTTCCTCTAAACACCCTAGGATTGGAACCACCATTGATTTAATATCCTTGGCCGAACAGCCCCATATCATTGTTATTTTTAAAGGATTTAATTTAATGCGGTCTTTGAAGGCTAGGGAAATCCGGACTTAGTCACTTATGGTCGCCTTCATGATCGTTTGATGGAGGGCAAAAGGGCAATCCTTTGGTGAAGGCCATGCAAGCCCCGGAGCCGATCCAACTGCTTTTGAATCTTCTGGGCCATGCGACCCCCAACATCATCCAAAATGCATCCTCAATCGGGGCATTCCTTGGCCTCGCTTCGCGAAAGCCGAGACGCCCCGGGCGTCCGTTTTTGTGGCGCTAGAGTCAGAGATGAGGTTGTCTTGGAGGTCCAGTCGCGTCGTAAACAGGGTCCTTCCGAACAAGTCCAAGTGCCATTGCTCATTCAAGCCAAAAAATGTATGCACTGTTCATGGTTCTTTACATGACATGTCACATGTACAATGACTTGACTTCAGAAATCAAAGGGTTAAACCGGTTCACCTTTCATCCTTGTTCATGATAACGCTTTTGTGTTCCAACTGACGCTCAGGCCTCCAAGATCCCATCTCCACCCCACAACGGCACCAACTGGCGCCGGCCAACTGGCTCGCCGGAGCCTCCTTCAGAGTCGCTCGCGGCCTTTTCGTCGGTGCTTTGCGAGCTCAGGGCAGGGTGAGCCAAACCCACCGGATTGGAAGAATAAATCGGTGGTATCGACATATTATAGCTAAAGCAAGTTGAAACAGGTTAATTAAAGGCAATCTCTCTTGATCTCTCTTACATCATGTTGACCTGTTCCATTGCGAGCGGCTCGCCCAACTCAAGAACTCTCCTTATGCCAGATGTTGTTCGATACCGAAAACCACCAAGGCTGATTCTCTCATGCCTTCGAATCCCCAAATTCATGGCGCACTTGCAGGGTTCTTTGACCCTGCCAAACCCGTCCGAAGCAAGGGGACCTCCCGCTGTCGATGCTGTCGACCGGTCGGATCCGGACCCCCACGGCGCCCGGTCCGTGGGGGAGTGGGACTCAGGTCGCGAAGGTGGCCAAGATGGGAAGCAGGTGGAGGTGTCCGTTGCAACGAGCCAAATCTTCCTGGGCCCGGCTGTTGTTACGGCCGCCCAGCACTGGACACCCACGCACGCACGCACGGACGGTGGCGGTGGGGGTGCTAAGCGAGCAGGTGCTCACCCAGCGGGTGCCACCAGCAGGAGCAGCTCTTGGCATGTGATGTTTGACGAGTTCTCCACGCATAGCGTATCAGCGTATCACATAGCTCACACGCCAGGTTCACCAACTGAAGTGCGGGGAACTGTGACGCCTCTCCAAGGACAAACACATGGTCAGTGGTCCATGGTCCAATCAGTACATCTCCGCACGTTGATTGCACCACGAACACCGCGAAAGCCATGAAAACCTCTCACACACACAAATCAGGCTTTTGTCTTCCAAACACCTCATCATTCAACCATAATCAACCACAACACGGAGAGCCACAAACAAATGGCAAAAATAATCAACCACACAGTGACACAGACAGCACAATCCCACGAACCTAGAAGCTTCAACGGAGATTGTTTGTCCTTCCAATGACTGCTGCGGAGGCTGGATGCATTCACCTCCCATACCAATACCCGCCCATCAGTTTGAGGGATGTATTCACCTCATCCGCCATACATATCCCAAACACTCCATGGAACTGCCATATTTACCTACATTGGGGTCAATCGGGGCGGCATACATTCTACCTGGCCCAACAACGCACGCCTTGTGTTGCATATGACCCCCACACCCCCTCCGTAGTGGCCCCACATAGCCACACAGTGTTCCTGTTGGTCCCTCTGCCGCCGGGATTCTGGGAGATCCCCCTGGTCGTTGGGGATGCCATTCTCCGCTCCAAGCTCCAGCAGGGCTTTGGTCAAGGTCTCCTCAGAAGAGACGATCAACAGCCCAATCATGGTGAAATTATGTGAAATTTCTTGAGTTCATCGTTCAACTCAACACGACCAGCCGTTCCGATCTGCTGGGGCGGTTGAAACAAGGATGAATGTATATCGGCATATTAAGCCAGTCCCAGACAGGTCGTGCCCGGGTGACGATGCGATGACCCCAGGTTGAAGAGTAAAGAATGCAATCATGGGAATACTATTGGTAAGGGATATGTAACGACCTCCAAATAGATAGAAAAGTAAACCCCACTGCAGTAAACATGTATTGGAAACCGTGCCACTATCTATTTGGGGACTACGAGAGATATCTCTTCAGACTTTCGTCTTCCCATACACATGATACATACAATCCATCTCCGGCGCCGACCTTCACAAGACCCACCGCTCAATTAGGCCCTTGCCATGACTTGCCAGCTTGTTTTTTGGCAGATAACTTGTTGAAAAAGGTGATTGAAAAAACTAACATAAAAACTGGATTGCAGCTAAGTGGAAACCACAGATTTGCATCTTAAAAATATGTTTGCAAATTATAATTGGAAAACACAACCAGGTTGCAGCGAGATAGAAACCACAATTTCGCATATTTGAAGTTACTTGTTTGGAGATTGTTCTTGGAAAAATCACAATGGTTTGTCACATGGTTTGTGGGAAATGACATATGGTTTGTGGGCACTGCCAAAAGTGCCGCAAACCATATGTCAAATCCTTCCAAACCATGGGAATGAGGTTGATGTTTCCAAGGATTGAAAGGGGTTGTTTTTTTCAATGGAGGTTCCAAAAACAAAGTGAAAAAAGAGAGTGTCACAGAGACAGGTCTCATGGCCAGTTGAGGAGGGGGGGTGAGGGCAGCCTTCAATTCACAGACATGGCGTAGATGGCAAGGAGGGCCAGGAACCTAGAAAAGCAGAGCAGTGCCTTTGTACTTGTATACTTGGTTTCTGGAATTCATATAACTTATATATTATCTTATGCAAAATATGGATGTAAGAATCAGATTACATGCAGTTGAGGTGAAAAACAAATCCATCTTGTCAGCCCAGCTGAAATAAGTTCAATTTAGTTGGCACCGATTGAGTACCACAAGAGCTCTAAGAGTGTCATCTGCACTGCAGGATGCATGCACACTCACACACATTACACGACGCAGGTGGGAGATGAGGCGCGGTCAAAACAAACTCTTTCACAGCCAGTGGTTGCCATTTGCAGTGCTGCCAAAGTACCGATGGTGATCACATGGATGTGAAAGAGTTCAGACATGGTCCCTGTTTTTTAACATACATTACACTACACCTACGCCATGCCTGCATCTGAAGGAGGCCGCATTGAAGGTGCTGCAGAAGTACCTTTTTCTGGTGCTGAAAAAGTGCCAACCCACTTACAACACACTACGGACGAGGCCGGGCAAAAAGAATTCTCAGGCATCCATGATCAACATGTCGCAGTGCTGCACCAGTACCGATGTTGATCATAGGCTGGCCTGAGAATGTAACATAATGTTTTCTTCACAAGACATACACCAACAAAACAACACTTTGCGAGTGGGGTGATCGACTATGTCAACCGTCCCACCCTCAAGTTGGTGCAGCGAATGAATTGGGGCAGGGCCTTCTAAGTAAAATGAAACTCAACTACAGCATTCAGTGGCATTCCAAAAACAGAGCCTCATTCTACCACAAAACCTTTTCTGTTTGCTGTTTGCCAGAACAGTTTGTAAGGCATTGTTAAAGGATGTAGATGGATGAAGCTGTGATTTTGATGTTTGACCTGGTCACCAGGGCCTGAAGGTTCAGCCAAGCCGATAACAGGTATCCTGCGTGTACATTTCATACTGCAGTACTAGTTACATGGTGCTGAATAAGTACCAGGATACAAACAATATCGTTTCTTTTGTTCATTTTTTTCTTCAAATTCTTGGCGCGGCAGAGTCCTGCAGGACAGCTCCAGCATCAGCGCATCATTGAACGTGCCGGTGCCTCAATTGCAAGTGCAAACCAGCCAGGGTTGAAGAACTGAGAACTAACTAACTATATTGTAAAGACAATTTGCAGATTTGGAACAAAGGAGGTACTTATTCAGCACCCCTCTGTCCAATTCTGATTGAAAGCAAAAAGAAGGTACTTGTTCAGCACCTGTGCATTACTTCAAGAAAGTGTCAAATAAAGACTCTTGGTTACTGACACTGGAGCTTGGCATGGTACAAGCCTCAATCAGTCAAGCTGTGACATGGAGGAAGCAAGCAAACAAAAAGCACCCCGCTTTCGGGGTTGTAACGCACCGTTGACATTGGGATGTAGCAGCGTGGGCATTTTTGCACGCGGGCTCACTTCGATCGCCCGGGTGATGAGTCGGATGACGATGGCTTGCTGCCTGCCATATGTGGAACACACATGTATTTGTTTATTGCTGCAACCAGCGCCTGCGGCCGTCTTTGGTGCTGCACCCTTTGGAGCCTGGCTTTCTCGAAGCAAACTTTCACGCTTCCAGAATGGCGCCCTGCGCGCTGAGTGGGCGGCTTTCTGAGATCTTTTCTGCGCTTTCTCCACGGCCTTCTCTGGCGGCTCCTGGGGCAAGGCTGCGCACTACAGCAAAACAAGACATATTGAGAATCTATAACATGCACACTGTGCGTTAACTGGTCCTCAGCTGCTCTCTTCCGAGCTTTCTTCGATTCCTGACAGGAATCTACTCAAAGCACAAGGGTAGTGATTGGACCATGACCTGGAAGGCGAATAAACACATGCAATTAAAGGCTCTCCTCTCTTTTCTGCATCTTTTCGATCTTCTTTTCCAGCTGCTCCAGCTTCTTCTCCTCTTCAGCCTGAGTCCAACCAGGGTAAGAGGCAAGCAGCGACGCCATCCTAGTATCATGAACAACGCACCATGAAGCAACGGGACCTCTGCTTCTTCTCCCCTCTTCACTGCTTTCTGCGCAGGATATTGTCAAAACTTGTTCAAATTCACAAATGTGCCTGCAATCAATAGAAACAATAATTAATAGCAACCAGTCCTCCAGGCAGCAGAGGATGGAACCGAAGCCCTTTCTCATGATGGCCTCCATGTCCGCCACCTTCTTGGTCAGCTGCTGGACGTCCTGTCCACAAATTGCACAAAGCATGTTCGATTTACATATATATATATATACATTGAAAATCAATCGTCAGGGCAAGTCGAGTAAGTCAATGGATCCTGAAGGTACTTCCTCAGCACCTGTTTCAAAATACATTGACTTACGTTATGATCTCTGACGATTCATTTTCAAAGGTACTTGTTCAGCACCTGTTTGAAGGCACGCGCGACACAGCTTAAAGCGAATTCCTGCCTTGCGGAGATCGTTCTCTTTCCTCACCTTCATCTCAGAGATTCTCTTGTGCAGCAGCTTGTTCTGTTGTTTGAGCCACGCCATCTCTTCACGGCGTTCTTGACTCGGGTTGTTCTTGTGTCCCTGCGCACCCTTGCCCTGACTGCCTTGACCAGCTCCTGGTGGCTGCTTCTGAGCTGGTTGCTGTCTGCCGATTGGCAGGGGCTGAGGGTTTGGTGGTGGCGTTGGGCTCGGGGCGGGTGCCTTGCTTGTTGGCTTCATGGGCGCGGATGCGGATGATGATGCCATGATCCTAAACAGTGTCAATGACAATGGACAGTGAATCATTCACGAGGATTTTTCTAATGTTGTTGATATTGTTGATATTGAGGTCGATGATCACGATGCTGATGATGATGACGACGATGATGACAACAACGATGACGATGATGGCAACGACGGTGCTGCTGCTGATGATGCTTCTGATGATGATGATGATGACAACAACGATGACAATAACAGTGCTGCTGTTGCTGATGATGATGATGATGATGATTGATGACGAGGATGGTGATTATGGTGATGATGAATGTTGCTACTCCTGACTAATCATCGTTGTATGATGAATGTATTGATCCCCAAAGCTTCGGAAACCAAATTGGCACTAGTTTCATGTACTGGTACTTGTCCTGTTTTGCTGGCATGTTCTATGTTCTCTCTGGTACTTGTTCAGCATCAGAAAGAACATAGAACACGCAAGCAGGACATCTATGTTCTTTCTGGTACTTGTTCAGCACCAGAAAGAACATAGAACGCGCAAGCAAAACAGGACATGCACTGCACTGAATGCAAGAGTTCAGCTTGTTGAAACTTGAAAAATGTTTTACAAAGAGTAGATTTACATTGTTTTTCATGTTCTTTCTGTGTTCCAAGCAGCATGACACTTAAACATTCTTTCTTGCCTAGGTCTCTGTCTCTCTTTCCTTCACTGGCGCTCTGAGGGGCCCGGCCCCCAGGAACTCCAGGAAATGCAGCATGAGTCCGCCTTTTGCCTGGGAATGTGCTTTCGGAAACCAAAAACAAATTGAAGAAGTTCAGAATATCGGTTTGAATGCCTGAGACCTTGAAAATCTTGAGGCTAAGGGCACAAACACACACACACACACACTTTGAACACGCATCACACTATGACTGGCATGCCGGCAAAGAACCTTAATGGTGCTGAATAAGTACCCACTTACACCACACTTTTGGATGAGGCGTGGTTGAAAATCAAATTCTTCCACTGCCAAGCGATGAACATGTCCCAGTGCTGCAAAGAGCACCCATGTTGATCATTTGAAGTGAAAGAATTCACAATGGTCTCCTTTTCTATTCAACAACACATGCCAACACCACACCGTGCAGGAAAATGCAGGGTGGAAACCAAACAGCCAGGCAGCGTGGAACTCAG